TCAGCGTCGTCCAGTACAACTTATCAAACGCACAACTCGATAAGTCCCTTTGTTGTTGGTGTTATCCGCTTGTAACACAGTGTCTCTGCCGGTCACTATACACAACTTGTTCATTATTAGTGTTATTCACCTTCTGACACAACCCATAGTAAAAAACATAGTCCTAGCAAAGGCTTTCACATGAATGCAGAGGAAAATGTTTTTGTGTCATGCAAATTACCGCATTTAGTATGGTTAACTCCTGCAGTTTGTTCATCTGTTTATTAACTTACTTCACAGGCAACTCTCAGGAGATGTAAGCTGTCAGGGTAGACCATTTTGACTTCGTTAACAAAATCCCCCCTGAAATCATCAGCCAGCAAAAGCGTTCCCTGCCTGCCGGTCCACTCTAAAAAGCTATCCACGGTGGGGAAAACACACTCTGTTTGTGCTCTATGAAGGTCTCTGGGGAGACTGACGGAAGTTGTAAGAGGTTTCGTCATGGAACATTTGGCAATCAATGCATTTGAGACCTTTCTGTGAAGTGGAAGGGCACATCTGATTCAAACGGAGGAACTCTTTGGTAGCATACCGTCACCAATTCATTAATAGTGAAGTCACTCTTGAAGCTATCATTTTAAATTCCAAAATCATTTACCAACCTAACTGCCTTGAAGGCTGACCAACCACTAATTGCAGCCATTGTGAATAAATCAGATCAGTGGAAAATTTGTCTTTGGATGATTTTTTTACAAAGACAACAAGATTTTGTATATTGCTCCACCCTGACAGGAGAGGATTCGAGCCTGTAAGAAGTTTTTTTAAGATCACTACCTTTGACATTAGAAAGTTTCCAAGTGGTTCAGTTCAACCTGTCTTCGTTGCAGGAACTCAGTGTGAGCTCACACATTGTCACACTGAAAGGATATTCTACCTTGGGCGGATGAACTCCGCTAGGCCTATTTACTGTCGAAACAACTGAGATTGAGAAACCGCAATTAGCACGCATCCGTTTAAATATTACAGTTTGCCGAGTAGAATTCATTACTCATTGAAGAAAACATCCATGGTTTGCAGGAATATCTCCTTGGCAAGAAGATTTGGGGGTGACATGTTTATGGTTTGTTCTGTTGTGAAGGGAAGTTCGCTAGTGTTTTTCTATAGTTTGCGAACATTTAAAGTTCCAAATAGGCAATGTTCCTACTTAGATATAGGCGAGGCGGTACTTTTTCTGGTGAATCGATCCATTATATCCGTGTGGAGCGGACGTCTGGAAAAGGCACGACGAATCTGCGAATGTCCTAGATTATATCTGTCCACTTTGCACTACCAGAGGTGAAAGCCCTGCAAACTACAATTCAGTTTTCAGCTGTGATGTCGGCTGAACAACGGGGCTATTGCTTGCTCCAACCCGCATAGGACCTGTAGCGTGTGTACACGCATCAAATAACAGAGAACCGGCTCTTCAGCTTCGACAAAAAATCTTGAAATCCCGGACTGACGAGTAGTGTGAACTCGGTCTGGGAGTCAGCATCACCCAGTCTGTTCTTCCACTTGAGAAAAACGTCGCACTTACAGTAGTTAGGCGGTGAATGTCAAAATGTCAGTCAGTGATCTGGGACGAAAACTTCCCCCAACGAACAGTCCAAAGGTGTTCTCCGGACTCTCCTGCATTGTAATGACGATCTGGCCCAATATCAGCCTGATGCACCGTAGTAACTGTTGAGATCGTTTCGTTTTTTGGAAATACAAAAAGGTTCCAAAGAACGACCATAGATGAATAACGTTCTGTCCATGTATTGGGTGTGCTGATTTCTGGCTCCTCCTTTCTAGGATGTGGCTCAAAGCAGTTCATTTTGGCTGTTTGCCGTCGTAAAGAAAGTTAGAGTGTCATAAAAACTGACTTTCTAGTTTCTTGAAGTGGGTGAAAAGCTAACTAAAAACAGGTAGATCTCCTAGCCATCATTAGAGTGCTATGTACTAGAAAATGTGGAGCGATAGCCACCCAACTCCCATCGGGAGTTCCATGTGATATCAGGTTGATAAGAAAGAGTACCTTGAATGCTGTGCTGAAAGTTAGGTGTCACGTTGTGGCGGTTAGTTATTGTCACACAACGATGAGGTTGTTGACTTTGTGATCCGCCATTTATGGATGAAAAGGAGTCAAGGATTGGGGTGCGAGTGGCGTCAGTCGCTTTGTTACAAATAGTGGCCTCATTTTTGATCAGTCAATAATGGCACACTACATACCTACATTCCGCCTCCGGCATCCATAACAACTGTTTCATCTGCGCTCGGTCTTAGTTTTAAAGCACAGTTTACTTTGAAATCCAGCTAGTTCGTCCTACATCCGAAATCTCTGATATGTGATTTCGCAGGTAACCAGGGTTTACAACCTCCGTTTGGCTCATTACCAATTTCGGTCTTATAAAACTCTCGCTGAGTGTCTGAAACGTAAGTGTTCTTTCTGCCAATAAGTGTCTATCCTAAAATTCCTCATAAAAAGTTTGACGTTTCACGGCAGAGGACTCTGGTTGATGTGCAAATCTAGCCTGACCTACAGCCTTTTCCACATACCAATTATGGGTTAGTGGACTACCTTGGCGTCCCTAAAATGTCTGCTTTTTGATAGGGAGGTGCCAGCTAGCAAGGAACATGCAGATCGAACTGATTGACGAAATTGTCTGTGACGGATATTGAGGAATGCTTATGCAGTCATTTGCGTTTTTCCCACACGTGATGAATATTTTCAGATGTGTGCTGCCGGTACGGAATCCTCGCCATGTAAAGTAGTTTAGCCCTTGATTTAGATGGTGTATCTGGGTTGAGTGGCTGAAGCGTTTGTTTGAGGAAACTTGTTGGTATGGATAATCTCAAATCTGGATAAAGTTTTTACTACAAATCATACTCGCGCGATGGACCAGTATGCTAATTGTCTCTCTCTTCATATTCATTGGACGGGCAGAGTCAAACTATAGGTAGCGATTCCATTGGGTTCATTTGTGGTGAACTGTGGCTTCGAAGCGATCATGGTTTTAAGGGACTTCAGATTCAAGGACATTCGTTCTGTTTACTGTCTTACATGGACTATTCAGCCCCAAGGTCAGCCGTGAGATATGCACAGGTGCAAGCGGATGGGTACACGGTTCTGGTTTGTTTAAATTATGGTAAAAAAAAATACGTCCATATACAGAAGCGTATGCCTCAGTGTCTCGATCACAGCAAAAAACGACAGGCCAATATAGTAGCGGCAGTCTCAAGGGCGTTGCAAGTTCGACACCTGATTGGTTAAGGGAAAACACGCACGTCTGTTGCTTGAGTATGGAGTCAGTGTATCACGCACCGCTCTGTCTATTGATCGGTCAGGGCCAGGCCTGACATGAGTCAAATCACAGACTGGGTGTGAAACACAGGGGACTCCTTCAGCGTCCTACTCCATATATCGGAAATTGGACCGGTTGGTTCGATTCGAATCAGGCCGTGTGATTCTCCTCAAGGGCAGCTGCTGAGACGGTTCCTTTTTAAAAAACGGATGCAAGTCTTGAGCGAGCATGTCTGTTATGTTCGGTGATGAGCACTTGCAGATGCCCTTGTCTCCCCCAGATAAGTAGACCGCGCGACAAGTCTTACACACAAAGACACTTTGATCTCTTACGAAATAAGATTGTTAGGGTGGACAATTTGCTATTTAACCGTATTGTCTATCTAAAAAACGGCATATACAATCGGCAGAAAGGTTCTGCTTCCGGGCCTATCAGCTGCCTTAATGCAGTATTTCTTTCACAGTGCTAAGTTTATCAGCTTTACGCTTTCCCGAATAATATAAAAATAGTCCAGTTAACCTCCGGAATGAGTTAGCTTTCTAGAGCACAGCTATAAAACCCAACTGTTTGGTGATGACAAGACCATTCTAAGAAAATTAAAGGCATCTGAAACTTCAGTTTCAAAAGGAAACATACGCTATTACATATGGAATTCGGGTTAACTAGTAATTCTTTTAAAAAATGGAAGGCACATGACTGCAAAAGTATCATTAGCATATCGCCATCAAGTATGCGCCCAGGTTGCCAAAATTAACTGTCACATTTTTGCTGGATTCTCAACAGAATTGTTCGTCATCTTTGGTGTATCTGATGAGCTTATGGCTACTCCGTATGTGCGTAAAACCTGTTTAAATATGAAAGAGTGGTTTGGTTTCCTTCGCAATGGACTCAATGCGGATATTCTCAAACAACCAATAATCAGATTACCGTTGTACCCTTTTTTAGGAGCAAGCTTTCAATACCTCATTACTAGATTGCTTAACAGAGTTTGCTTGATTATTCCGGAACAAAGCGCAGATAATCGCTCTAACTGAGCACTGCAGACTGCGTTTTGTGAGTCAGAATTTATTGAAAGTGGGCTTTACCGTCTCAGGCTAGGCTATGCTTCTCTTTTAACATTTAATGCAATGTTAATGCCTCGCATGAACGGAGACCGCTTTTTACTCGAAGTTGCTATGCCGATAGCGTCTGTTAGCTGCAACTTTTTCCAGATCGCCTGAGTGAGTGTCTGGAGGTATAGGCATCTCGGAATGAGTGTGGAAAGCTAGCACTAAGTCCTTCCCCTGTCCATCTTTACTCTTTTCTTTACAATGAGGCTTTCAAATAAATCATCGTTGTACGGCAGGGAAGCATCGGTGGTGAACACTGTCATGCTGTCGATGATGATGATGCTGATGATGATGAATGGAACTGGACTGCAGGGACCATCCCAAAGAGATGTCTGCATTAGCCCTCCTCATCGCTATGAAGAGTATCCACACACTCGGAATAGGCGAACTACCCTTATTCATGTGATTTTTCCTCCTAGTTCGACTACAGAAGCCCAGAGGTTAAGATACATTTTCCTAAATTCCAATCTATCTCTATTTTATTTATTTAGCAGGTTTAAATGACTCAGTTGTATCTCATCCCTCGTGCCTCCTTCCAATTACCACCATTTCCGTGCATTTTGCCATCCGAAGTCAGTGAAAAGTAAAGGCGTTATATCGTATGACTGATATCTACAGGCTGATTACATCAGTAATGTGCTTGCGTACAGAGCATCACTCTAACCTTTTGTTAAGCACATATTCTACGTATCCTAAAGTGCTATATCACTCAAGTCACGCTATTGGGAGGGTAGGTGTTCGTTGCGCCCGTCGTTCAATATGCAGGAATACGATAAGCCTTGTTGAACAGCCATACCAACGGTTTGAGGTTCTCTCGCGCCGTTTTTGAATTGGACCACTCAATACACGGGCTTGTGATGGTAGCAAAATACTGCATGATATGGATCGCCTCATCGCGATTGGGCACTTTGGCCTTAATTACAGCTTTCTCGGCGATATCATCCGGATCATTTGTCACCGTGTTGAATTTTGGCGCCGGATAATATTTATCATGGTCTGCCAACCTGCTGTTGCGGTTGACGGAACGATAGTTGCCCGCAAGGTTTGCTTTCGAATCGGTTGTAGGCCATACAATAATCCCCGGGGGTGGTGTTAGATGCAGACGACAGAGATGAAAGGCCAGTCGTAGTTGCGCTCGACAAGCCGGTTCGGAAAACAGGCTGGAACTAGGGAAAATAATTAAAACCTGTTTGGATTCCATTAGGAGTGTAAGACGATGTCTGGCCGGAGGAGCAAGTTGGCATCTAAATCTTGGTTGCCATGCCCAAACCCCTTTCAGTGGTGTATCTGCAGGCAAAAATGATTCACGTTTCGCGCGTTCCGCTGTGGAATAGATCGAGGTTGATCGACTGGTACGTGATGCGGGGTTAACTCTCGTGGAACCCGTCTTTTTAGTATCAGGAGGTAGGGAGGAGTGCTGGTTTATTTGCCCTGTCCTTAAATCACGCGGCACCGCAGGTATGAATTCACGCAACTTGGGTTCCGGATTGTTTGAAATATCAGCCTGTAAACATGGTATAACAACTCTTTTACACCATTTTCGTGCATGTCTTGGACAGATAATAAACAGCTTGGCTCTGGAATTGATTGTTTGGTCGAGTCGTAGTCGCATCTTCATATCTCTGGAAAAAAACAAATCTACAGATGGATTTTCTCGATGTGCGTCTTACTAGCGCATCAAGTTAAGAAATACTTCAAGTAAAGTCATCCACTTAAAAGCATCACTGCTCCTATTACCTCCTCTCGCATTTGACAAATCGTGTCAGTTTGTGTACGGAAGAAACTTCACGGCGCCCGGGTTGCACTGGTCGGGGCAAACTAGTTAGTCCGCGGAACACGACAACAGAAGCGACGACAATAACACCTTCCAGATGAGGATGAAGTCTCTCTCCTCGGGCGGCACACCTTTCCTAAATTGCGTTGTTATGACCAGTCCTGAATTAAATAAGTAGTATCACAGTCCTCACCTATTACCGGCCCGCACTACTGATACTTATAGACAGGAGAACGTTCAACGCGGGAATACTCGCCAACTAAACCCTAATATGAACCAGAAGGATGTGTTATTCCTTTGCCGTACTACGTTTTTTTGCATTTCTCCGAACCTTTCCACTCCAAAAACAGTAATAATGACCCTGATTACACTATTGGTGTTGTGCTAGTGGCTTCGATGCCGTGTTGGAATTGACCTACAGTGTTTTTTATTACTGTTGAACAAAAGCTCACCGGAATTCGCGAACCAACTCACTTTGTGTGAAAGAAGAAAAGTATGGGAGGCGGGACCAGACAGAATAGCATAAAAATTATCCACGCCAGTCCGAGTAACACCAGATAGCCAGTTGATTGGCAAGTTTTTGGCACCGATGGTGGTGACGCTTCCACAATGTTCGAGGGGGCAACACTCTCACAGTCACTTTCAAAGAAGTCATAAGCAGGTAAATTATCCTCTATGCGCTGGTCGCAATACATTACATCCAGACCCATGTGTTTTCGAATTGTTTTCTTGTCCAAATACTGGTACGGTTTCTACAGGTGGAAAAATAAACAGATTAGAAAGATTCACACACAGGACCTTTTGAAAAAAGTTTCTAGCAAACGTACGGTAACAAAAGAAATAAGGTTTTTAGATGAGAAAAAGACAACCCAATTTTAAAAAAGTAGGTATTTACAGAAATTCGTACAATTTTGTCCACGTTGGTGCATAGACCACATTTCCAAAATTTGTCTGAATTAAATGGTATTCGTGACGATCTACTCAACACATTTCTAACAAGATTTGCTTATCATTCAGAAAACTTATTTGTTGACGTGAAACTTCTGTCAATACCGGAGACGTGGTGACAGGTCCATGTATCGTGCATCGGTAATTGGCAAAACTAACCGTGAAATTCTGGATTTTCTACGGATTTCTAAGACTTCAATGGAAAATACATCGTGCAGCTGTTGATTTTGGGAAACTGATCGAACCCAGAGTCTACTTTGAGGGGAATCCGGGAAGGCAAGATCGCATGACATGCGTTGCCAAACTATCCTGTCTAGATGCGAGTTAATCACATTGTTGACCAGTTACTAATAACGGTAATGCTTGCGATTTCATTTGTATCCATAGGTTGCTGAAACAGCTTCTCAGTGTTTCACCACTTTCCAGCACAGACTGACTTCCTTTGTGTGACAGGACCCGAAGTCCGAATTCTTTTAACCATGTACAGGATGACGATTCGTTCGCAACTGCACGACCGAAGGTTTGTCCAGTTATGAAGCCACGGTTCCTGGGACATCCAGCGGAAATACTCCGGGGCGCACTCGAGACACACGCCCTAAAAGTCCTTCAAACCTGAGTAAAATCATGCGTAACAAGTGTGACTACGTGCCTAGGTCGTTGCTCTCTTCCATGTTCGGACATCAGACATATAAACGCGTCTCTTAAAAAGCACGGTATTTCAATGAGGCTGTGCCGAATTCTGTGAATGTGTGATCCAACTATTTGCATTCACATACGGATTCTTTGATAGCCATTCTTTACGTACGAGTGAACCGAATTCAGAGGGTAAGTGTTATCAGACGATCAGATTACTCAACTAATCAGATTACGGGATAGAGAGCTGACACTACATATCGCTCTTCCCACCATTGCATCGCTTTTGCATTGTACGAATCTGGACCTGATAATCGCAAACGTTTGTAGAATCTTTGATGTCTGGAAAGTAGGTAGCCAGGTTATTGGATTTCCAGATACAACATTCGAGGCCCCGAGAGAACATAGTTCAAGAAATCCCATCAAAACCAAGGTGTGTTGCTAGATAAGAATAGGACCACTTCAGTTCTCATCAACGCTAAAAAGATTGCATCTTGAGTGGCTTCCTCGCAATGTAGTTTGAGTTTCAATGGAGATTTAGTTCTGTAAGTGAAATCAGTCTATGCTGAAAAGCTGAGAATCCTCGTGCAGCTGTTATACCCTTAGTTGAAATCAATAGCCGTGCGCATCTTACGCAACCAAGAGAGTTTCAGATCCGCGACATTCCGGGCAGCAGTTCAGCTGTTTGGTCATGATCAGCAATCTGCTTAGATCGCAGATAGATAGGACGTAGCGTCACTCAGCATTCAATCACGGAAATTATATCATGCAGTCAGATTTTGGTTGGATTCTCGAATGACGATTTCTCAGAAGCAAGCCCAATTTATCTTGTAAAATTATTCTTCCTTCGATCCACATGTTTGCCTTTCGTAGGGTAGATCAAGCTCTAGCGTCCTATATATGCGGAACAAGACTACCAAAAAACTCTAAATTCATACACTGTTGACCGTTATCAGGCATGGCAAATTGTTTAATACAAATCGTACATCATAAATTGTTGATTAATGGTTCATATGCTGATTACAATATGGTTTAAATAAGAGATTGCCTTCTTCTGGTACTCGTCAAAAGGACCTAACAACAGTGAAAAAAACATGGGCAATTTTATGTAGCTCATTAGTGATCTCGGGATATGCGCGCTGTGTTCACTTGACCCTTTTCGTTTGCAAGCACCATGTACAAACTAGTGATTGCTGTAACGCCTAGTTTTCGCAACACCGTTATTTCCTAGCCTCGCCTGGAGTCATACCTCTAACTAGGCAATACTTTGAGTCAGTTTACTTAATTTTGAATGTTGTGTTGCACAGTGAGTACCACATACGACGTGCCACGTTGATCGATTTCAAAGGCAATACGCCAGTTTTCTTCTCTTATTTTTCGGGCGGTCGGTGACGAAACAGCAACGGCCATCAGTGTGAAGAAACTGATAAATCCATTCTCAGTCAAAATCGGTCATTCCATGAACTGTGAGGAATCCTAACGGCATTGGTGATTTATGTCGTTTCTTGTTTCTAAGACTCAGAAGATTGTGGGCCCCAAAATCGCGAACGACCAATGTGGTAGCTAACACAACAATATTAAGAATATTCTAAGATGTTCTGGTGGTCACTTCGAGCGCACAGTTGTTCTAGTGCCAAGCAGTTGGAACTTTAGGCTTACTGTACTACACGACATAGACTGGTGGTATTCCTTCATCTGCAAAACTCTGTCGGTACCCAGCTGCCGTGCCACCCGATGGAAGCACGTGGATTGAGGTACTGCAGACTGTCCAGGCCTACACAGGAGCAACCGAGGTACGCGAGGTCGGGTTGAACAATGAAACTTTAGTTACCAAGTTCCTTAATCACAGCTCACGATGAAGAAGCACGTGGATTGAGGTACTGCAGACTGCCCAAGCCTACACAGGAGCAACCGAGGGACGTGAGGTCGGGTTGAACAATGCAACTTTCGGTTACCAAGCTCCTTAATCATAGCTCACGATGATAAGCTCAAGCTGTGCAGGACACCGAGCCCCAAAACATACCACACACAACGTCACCTCACACTTTTTGACCGCATACCTATTTCATGCTCTTTCGACTGTCGAACACCCAATTTGAGCGTATTCTGATGAGTCCTAGCTCAGCATTGTATAGACAAAGTATTGGATAGACCAATAGACCAATCTCTGCTACTATCATTTATTTTCTCGTGATATTGCTCATCCCGGTCCGCTATGTATGTACACTGGTAAAGAAAACCAGGCGAAAAACGGATAGCCACGAATCTATCCACAAATTATGCGGAGCGTACTGGCCGTGTGATTAAAACCATAATTGCAGCTCTATCTTGGTCTGGAAACACAATTCAAAAGAGAACAATGATGTACTCGAGCTCAGTGGGACGAAATCTCGATCAGATATTGAAGAACCTATCGACAGACTAGGAAATGCGATAAAAAGGTTGTGTGGACTCACCCTGGCGCAGTCACATTGTAGTCCGTCAATCACCACATTCGTGATCTTGTGGGATTGTATTAGACAGCTAAGAGTGCTGTTGTATTTTCTGACTGTTTCTTCTCCGGGGATGGTAAAAAGATGGACGTCTTCAGGATAGGATAAGTGCAATATAAGTGCTCTCGGCCATAATAGATCACAAAATGCCCTGTCTGCGAAATAAATTATATCCGTTTGTTGTAACCTAGAATGCCNTAATTTGTTGAACACACCAGCTGGTACGTATATAAGTGGGTTTCCGGACAAGTCCAGTGATCGAACTTTTGGAATGTTAGGGAACGGTTCGATATTGGGGGCGAATGTGAAGCCGTTTCGTGTGAATTGAATAATCTCCGCATTCGGTAAATCTGGTAGTTGGTGGGTTTTGGTGAAGACTTGCTGGATGCTAGCGACAACGGCATTTTCCAAACGAATAGGCAAGTTCTCTTGGAAACTGGAGCGTTTGGATAAACTGACTATGCGTACACTTCGATGTTTAGAGCTGATTTCCGAAATACTCTCTGAATTTACGCGCAGGGTTAACGACTTGAGCTGTTCGAAGCAGTCATACACACGAGTAGATGTAAGACCTTCCTGCATCTCTGAGCTGATATGCTACATCGTTGAACAAAAGGGAGCGGAATGGGAAACATCAACACAGGAGGACAGAAAGAAATTAGTAAGTTTTAAACATTGCAGTCAAGATAAACACTCTCATCAATAAGAGGACTTAAAATTAGTTTGCAATCATTTGTTTTTCAAGTGGAAACAACTTTTTCTGTACTTATTTTGCACGTCTTTCGCTGAACTGAAGCACACATGGTTTACTCATTTTTCAGTCGATCAAAAGTACAGAAGAACTATGACTTCTATTCTTGCCAACAACTAGTGAATGTCCAACAGTAGCAAACGGTGGCGAACTCTAGCCAACCACCTCAAAGCAAATTCCTGTGCGTGACTCGTCAGGCCATGTCCTAGTAACTTATCTGCTCGAATGGTTAGCTGGGAATCTTCAGGAAGTAGTGCGTTTTTAGGCGAAATCTGACAATCCTCCCCCACTTAGTGTATCATGACTCAGCGGGCATGAGTAATCAAAGTGGCCATGACAGGAATTCGGTGATCACCCGCGGGGAATATCTGACCGCCTTCGATTTAATCCGGGAACGTCCCATATGACAGGTAACATTATCTAGCACATTCGAAGCTACTGAGAACCATGTGAAGACTTCCATGAACATCGGCTCTAAAACATCCGGGCCCTTTCCTGAGAAGCCGCTGCTCCGTGGAACAATCAAAATGCCGGGCTAGTCAGTAGAGTGGAAGACTTAGTGACGCGAGTTCGCGTTTACCACCGGAATTTCTGGAAGTAAACTGTATTGCATCGGTCAGATAAAAATACCGAAACTATTTTGAGATACCAAACACAGATCTGGTCACGCAGGGAGAAGCAGAAAGTGAATCCATACGACGGCTATTGAAGGAACTACACTTGTCTGCTGCCATAAAATTACACTCTGGGTGACTGAATTTCACAAAAGATGATCGCGTTCTAACACAGTGAATCTGATGTGTTACCGTGATGGTTCAGAACACCAAGTTCGAAACTCGTTAGGATATCTGGCTTCGTTCGAGAGCTGTGTTCAATCTGGTTAGACTGATCGAGCAATGGGTCGACATGCTATCCCACCGGGGTTTTAATATTAAGTTCACGAAGAAGTTGTGATGTTTTTTTCGGGTTGTGTGGTAATCGTCCTTGTGCTCTGCCGCAAGGCTGAAGCAAATCAACGGTTGGTAGGTATTCAAAACAGCGTTAGTCTTTTTGAGAAGTTCATTCATTGACTCCTGTATATAATGTTTTACCAAAGATAGTCCGTTGCTACTTTCTAAGATGGGTGTCTGGCCGATTTCTGAGTTCAGGCTTCCTTTGCCCAAACGCACCCGCATACCGTTGAGGCTATCAGTTTGTGGTGAACCTATCATCCTCCGAGGGAAGCCAACCTATGCTGAAAAGTCGAGAAGCTGTTTCATCCTTATTGGGAATCATCAGCAGTGCGCATCTCGCGGAACTCCGGAGTCTCGAACCAGCGACCTTGTGGCTAGGAGTTTGAACACTTAACAGTTCGGCAACGAGCGGCTGATCAGCAATGTGATTAACTTGCACTTAGACATTATATAGCGCCGCTCATCCTTCAGTCACGGGATCCACACCACGCAGTCACACTTGTTGACTGGCTTCTAGAGCAATGACTTCTCAGATAAAGGTTTCACTCCTCGAGTGAAGTTTATTCTTTCACTAAGGTACTGATAAATTGTTGGTAGTGTGATATTTATTTTTTTGTGTGTGGAGATTTTGTCCTCTGAGGCCAATTTATGCTGAAAAGCCCAGAGGCACTGTGTGGATGTGGTATCCTTATTGGGAGATGCGTAAGATGCTGATTACTGATGATTTCCAATAAGGATGAAAAAGCTGTTCAGTGCTTCTTGGCTCTTCAGCATAGATTGGCTTCACTTAGAGGACGAAAGCCTCACAAAAAACAAATCTGCTCACACTGTCAACTAGCCATTTTTTTACATTTCCCTAGTTGCAACTGGGTAGTTAGGATATGTATCAAACCGCTTCAGCACACTGAACGTCAAGGTTTTCAGATAGCTAGTCTGATAATCGGACAGGCGCGGTCATCGTACCTGATCAAACAAGCGTAACGCAGGCGATTCATCACAGAAGCTGGCGGGAGCAATAAGCATATCACTGTTTTGGTCGATTGATACACTCCACCGGCTTGATTTTAGTATGACCGGTTGTGGAGTACTAGGCCGAAAGCAAGTGCTGGCACAGTCATCCACACGCTGATTCATTGCTCATCCTTCAGGACCGATTGAATACCTATAACACATGACGGTAAGGCTGCTTCGCGTAACTCATACGCTGCTGAAACATCTTGGATGAGATTTGGGGGGTACGCTCAGAACGCGATTTGATAAAATGTCCAACTTTAGACAGATGAGATTCACAAACGTCTAATCGAAGCATTACCGTGATGGGAACAGTTTAGGGGATTTAAAGTCAGATGTACTTTAAACACTGCTTTTCAATAATCGTATTTTAATGAAAGACTGTTAAGTTTTTATCCGAAATGTGAGAATGACATGAGGGCTTTGCAAACTGGCTACAGCTTTTGATTATTGAAAAATATGAAGCAACAATATATTGATACTGCGTTAGAAATTGAACACTTAACAGTTCGGCAACGAGCGGCTGATCAGCAATGTGATTAAGTTGCACTTAGACATTATATAGCGCCGCTCATCCTTCAGTCACGGGATCCACACCACGCAGTCACACTTGTTGACTGGCTTCTAGAGCAATGACTTCTCAGATAAAGGTTTCACTCCTCGAGTGAAGTTTATTCTTTCACTAAGGTACTGATAAATTGTTGGTAGTGTGATATTTATTTTTTTGTGTGTGGAGATTTTGTCCTCTGAGGCCAGTTTATGCTGAAAAGCCCAGAGGCACTGTGTGGATGTGGTATCCTTATTGGGAGATGCGTAAGATGCTGATTACTGATGATTTCCAATAAGGATGAAAAAGCTGTTCAGTGCTTCTTGGCTCTTCAGCATAGATTGGCTTCACTTAGAGGACGAAAGCCTCACAAAAAACAAATCTGCTCACACTGTCAACTAGCCATTTTTTTACATTTCCCTAGTTGCAACTGGGTAGTTAGGATATGTATCAAACCGCTTCAGCACACTGAACGTCAAGGTTTTCAGATAGCTAGTCTGATAATCGGACAGGCGCGGTCATCGTACCTGATCAAACAAGCGTAACGCAGGCGATTCATCACAGAAGCTGGCGGGAGCAATAAGCATATCACTGTTTTGGTCGATTGATACACTCCACCGGCTTGATTTTAGTATGACCGGTTGTGGAGTACTAGGCCGAAAGCAAGTGCTGGCACAGTCATCCACACGCTGATTCATTGCTCATCCTTCAGGACCGATTGAATACCTATAACACATGACGGTAAGGCTGCTTCGCGTAACTCATACGCTGCTGAAACATCTTGGATGAGATTTGGGGGGTACGCTCAGAACGCGATTTGATAAAATGTCCAACTTTAGACAGATGAGATTCACAAACGTCTAATCGAAGCATTACCGTGATGGGAACAGTTTAGGGGATTTAAAGTCAGATGTACTTTAAACACTGCTTTTCAATAATCGTATTTTAATGAAAGACTGTTAAGTTTTTATCCGAAATGTGAGAATGACATGAGGGCTTTGCAAACTGGCTACAGCTTTTGATTATTGAAAAATATGAAGCAACAATATATTGATACTGCGTTAGAAAAGTGCACTCATTTGAATACCAATTTGGAGACCCAACTAAATACCAGCTGAATCTTTTGTTTATGATGTACTTTTTCAACTAAATGTGCTACACTAGGCAGCCTCATGTGTCAGTTTGTACAACACGCCAGTATCACAATATACTATTCACAATATCTTATCACAAATTATTATCACAATATATTATTCAACACGCTATTCATAAAGTTGATGAGAACTCTTCGACAGCCTACAGAAGGCCAACAGAAGAAAATAAGGAATTGGAAAATGATTGGAAACGATTGAGAAGTCATCGTTTCAAAAGGGCATGGTAAACAAACGTTCGTTATCTTAACTGGGTAACGCTTCGCTTTTGACACAAAAGCTTCATCAGGCCAAGTGAGTAGGTCACTAATTTGGCCAGGTTTTAAGGTAGATAAAGAACCAATCAGTAGGATGTCTGCATATTAGCGCCCTAGATCAATGTTGGGTGCCAATTAACGGCTCTTGTCCATTAGTGTGTTTGCCGAAATTTTGCATTGATGGTTTGGGAGAGTTTCTAATTGGCTCCGAACGTGCTTGGTTTCTTAATTTTCCACTTCAGAGTACTTCAATTGATGATACACGGCGGGTGCCACTGGTCGACTCCGTTGGTCTTTGTGGGTTTGTGAGTGCTACAACAATTTAGTTGGGGTAGGGTAGGTGGGCGAGGTCAAGTGGAATTCAGACAACACCAATACGTGTCAGCTCGGCTGATCCGAAATCGTTCACCGCACGCTTGCCAGTTTCACGCCTTACATTCTGTTAACACTGGAAGGCTTGGTGATTACTACCGCCTCGGCCATCAGTCTCTGTGACGTGGACCGTAGTCCTTGCCCCACACACCAGAACCGGAAAGCACAGGAGGAAAATAAGCCACTGCTGAGAAACGCTGATGAATATCGAGCGTTACTGAAAGACTTGGCAATTGTGGAACACAGCACTGATTAAGTCGGCTAGTCGTAAGAAATCTCACGGATTGGCACCCAGACCACCTTAAAGCCCGATCAACCTGGTAACTTACTCACATGGCCTGACGAAGCCTTTGTATCAAAAGCAAAACGCTGTCCAGCAGCAAACCCACCGATCGTTTACCAAAACTCTCTGAAATGATGACTACTCAATCGGTCCCAAACGTTTTCCAGTTGATTAAGGTTAGGATGTTTGTCATAGAAACAACGGCTAACGAATGCTTTCAGAGGGATTTCGTAGACTGAGAAGACATTTTTCGTTCGAATCTTACAATAACTGATTCGTTCATGTGTAGGTTGTTTCTAACATACTACGGTAGACCGCAGCACGACCCATCGCTGTCGCTGAAAGCGCAATACGAGTAGTTTGTTGTCGTTCCAACAACACCAAGGATGTATATAATGTGTAAAACAGTAACACTACGTGGGTCATGTCTGAGTGAATTAGCCCGTTCAGCTGGAACATCTTTACGGTGCCTAACTGCTGTGCCACTCGAAGGAAGCACGAAGGCTGGGATATTGCCAGGTTGTAAGCCTAGACAGGGGAATTCGAGAGGAAGAGGTGGGGTTCAAACCACGGGCCTTCCGGTCAGCAAATTCATGCTCTAACCACTTGAGCCATCAACAAGAGTTTCGTGTAGCTCGTTCCTGCTTGAATACCTTGCGTGCATTCATTTCGTTCTCTTTTTAGATGGATCAGTTTACCTCGTACTCCAATAAAATATTTTTGAATTACTAGGAAATTAAGTGGATAGACCTCTTGTTTCCGTCCGTGGTAGGCCAGTTGGAGTGAAAATAACTGTAGTTAAGAGGGTCGTAGTATCACTGTTTTTTTGCGACTTCAAGTAGCCGTAACGTTTGGTTCCATCTCATTTTTGGTCCCGGAAATTATCATCATAATTGACAGCTGCTGTAGATCCATGGTTGATGCAAGCCCAACACGATCATTATAAGGTGTCCACACTTTTAGATGCTCATTTGGACAATCTGGATGTAAACTGAGTGATGTAAACAGAGAGGTGGCCAACCCTTGACTTGGCGGAGTATGAAGGAGATCACGAAACGCTTGGGTGCTGTCAGTGCTACTCGCCTTCCAGGATGGGGACCGCGTGATCCTCACTGTGCCTGGTTGGAGACACTACAAGATATGACTGCCAACCGATATCAGTGGCGTTCTTGTTGTCAGTTTCTATCCAGATTGCCTGAGTGAATATCTGTAGGTGTAGGCACCTCGGAATGATCGTGTTAAGCTAGCACTAAGTCCCTCCGCATCCACCTTTATTCTTTTCTTTACAATGAGGCTTCCAAATAAGTCATGGTTGTACGGCACTGAAGCATCGGTGTTGAGCACTGATGTCATGCTGTCGATGATGATGATGAAACTGAGTGCTAAAGTTTCTATCACAAATATGGACATCGTATACACCGTACAAGACAGCAAAACTACTGGGTACACTGTATCACACTGTGGAATTAGAATCTGCCCAGCTACGTGCTGGATCTTGCAAAAGGCGCTTAAGATTTCGTCCAAGTAAAATTACTTACTTCAATCCCTAGAGGGAGAATTTTACACGGATTTGTATCGGGCAAATAGTAATTGGAGTTGTAAAGGCGAATAACACGGAGCCGTTTCGCTTTCGACCACAATTTCTTCAAAGTTTCTGGTATACATTGGTCTTCCAAGCGATTCAGATAAATTACTTCCAAGTACATGAGTTCCGCGACAAACGGGCAAATGTTGTATAGGAAAGCCGAGCCGATTGTACCAAGTTCCAATACGCGTAATTTTGCGAAGCCTGGGTTGTAGTTGAGACGAATCTTGCTATATTCCACCCGTTTTATTCGCAATATTTCCAACTCCGAACTGCCCAACGTTGTCAAATTCACAGTGTCTTTGGTCTTCACCGTGATCAAATTAATAACTCGAAGACGCGGGAAGACCCACTGATCTTCTAGCCATCGCACGGCAGCTGTATCGAGTATGCTGAATGCCCGCAAGTTTGGAGCAAAGAGTTTAACAGGCGTCAGACAATCTTTGATAATATATACTTCCAAAGCGGTGGAGTTCAGCGTAAATACCGGTTCGCACTTGGCCGGCCCAATGATGCTTAAAAAGCGTGCATCTGTTCTAAGCTCAGGAAATCCCAAGTTTTCATAAATTTCTCCATCAGATGGAATGCTCAGACAACTATCATCCAGTGTATAGTAAAGGGTATGACCGAACCGCTCGCCTGGTTCATAGTCTGCGACGACCAAGTGGAAATTAAGGAAGAGGATGAAATGGGTGATAACCAAGATGAGGTACATAAATCGGATTCTTTGACTGTAAGCAGGTTTGATTTTAGAAGGCGGCTACCTCTGGTTTCGCTGAATGGCAAAACAAAAGGGGATATCTCTCCGCTCTGTGCTGCTGTACAGTCACTTCGTTTGAATGAATGATCAATAGGATACCTTAGCCTGTTATATGTATCACGTGTTCAAGCGAATTTTCCCCTTTGGGCGAACAAGAAAGTCAAGATATGCAGGTAAGAGCATGGTTAGGGTAACTGTTTCTGTGGCTCCCTTGTTCGGTATCCGCCTTAAAACTGCTTTAAAACCATCACACGCAGTTTACGATCAACAGATTCTAAGTCAGTTTTTCAGAACCGTTGATTTTAGTCCAACAAGCGAGCAGATAAAGGGAACAGGAGGGATGGTCGTTGTTGACTATTTTCCCCAAACAATTAGTACAATTAGATTGTGAGGTTTACGCTCATGGGATTCTATCAGACCTACTAAAGCAACCGAAAGGCTACGAGTTGGAAGCTCTCTATGGAGTCATGCAGTGGTTCTGAATACACTTTCACTCAAAACTCGACTATAGGATGATGTGGCGACGTGTCAAATCATCATCATCACTGTCAGCTGTAATAACCGCATACTCGTACAGTGGTTGTAGCTGCCGCAGTTTCGTTCACCGATGACTTGTGCGGGGGGAGTGTAGGTAGCTGCGCATTGCACGCGCGGGCTGGTAAATTGGTGCATAAATCCAGCGCCCTCAATGGGCTGTCAAGTGGAAGATGTTGGAAAAGGAGCTATGCATTGAAGGCAATAGCTTGGATGCACGAGCGCCATTGGGGGCGCAACTGGGCCATATCTAACAAGGTCTCTAGCCATTGATGTGGCCCCTCTCGGGGTCCCCATCCAGGAAGACGGCAGTGACCAGCGCAGCTGAGTTTGCTGGTAATGGCTTTCATACTTCACTGCCAAGTCATTGTCTGACCGCCTCTGGCTCTCTTCCACCCTTCACGTGGTTGTGCGAAAAGAGCTTTTCGAGGAAGTCGGTCGACTGGCATACGCAGCACGTGGCCAGAGCAGCTTTTGCGAACCTACGTCACCTGTGGCGTAGGCGTGACATAAGCTTCTCTGTCAAGGGTCGAGTTTACAATGCTGCTGGATACTGAGTCTTACACTACTCGCCGCTTGACGGAATGAGAGGAAAAGGCATACCCTTAAACTCTGCGAGACAAGGGAAGTTAAACTATTCACTGAAACACGGTATCATACACTCAAGCTCCACGCACCGATCGATTCGAAACGATGCATTCGACTTAAGCGCATAATGTTGGTGAGTGCTGCAAGGCCCATTTCACATTATTCGCACCCCGAAAAGTAAAGTAGACTTTTGTTTGAGGTTAGATAGTCCATATATAGAAGGTATATGTACCATAACAATATTTCCTAGATTTGGGATGAATTGGAAAACCCGACCTATGTTCAAGTGTAGGCCAATCGGATGAAGCACCTAGTCATCTAGGTTCACTACACGACTAACTGAATACAATGGGACGAATAAGTCAGTTTCACACATGCAGAGTATGACGGTGGGCGATGTACAGGACGAACTGCAAGATGGATCAGTGCCGCATTTACAACCTTGTCAGCGTGTAGCTTGCGATCGTAAAATGGTAAATGCAACATGACGATTTCGTCCTCCCGTAGAGTCCTTTGGAAAAGAAAACACTCACTGAACACAAGCTAAATGTTGTGGACCACAGTCTCCTCAATGCCTTTTTGTTACAGTGAATCCCGGTCTGGATAGCCGATTAATAGCGTGGTGCGGTTAGCCAAATCAGAAAAAGTCAATGAACGTACAAACCGGCTGATCTATTGATCACTGCAGCGTACTAGCGGGTCAAAAAAGTGATACTAAGACTACAACTCATCTGTCAAGGGCGAGTGGGGAACAACCAATGAAATCTGTGTGAACGAAAACGATTATTCCATTGGCTGTTATACAGTCCCGTTACGTTCGGAACTGGTTCTCCTAATACGAAACAACGCGAGCCAGTCGGATAGCATGGCGGCGCCATGCTACCATGCGGTTTGCCTGAAACCCCAAAGTCCAATTTGGTGTACCATATCCCGCTACACTGGTCCACATCACCCATTATCCTAACAAGTGTTTCACTTCGCATTGTACATTTCTTATGTAATCCACTTCCTGGCTATCCTGGATCACATTGGTTTCTCAAAAGTACAACCATTCGGATGAATCAGTTTATCAAATGTACCAGATTTCGCGTGTTTCGATTCCTATATGATCACCATGCTGTCAGTCCGTGGAAAGTACCAGATCTCCATACGTATCAGCATACTAATAAACAGCACAAAACGGCTCACAAAGAAAATGACTCTCCAGAAGGAGCATTCGACTTTCGCTACGCGTAAAAACCCACGAGGGTCTTTTGCGTCTCTATTCCACTGCAACAGAACAATGAAGCGTGCGTTAGAGATCCCTGTTAACTGAGCTGTTTAGTGAACAAACCCCTAATTTAACAGTTGGGAAGTACATCCACCTCATTTTTTTGAAATAAACCTTTGGGGGTCAGTGCTTGATCATAAAAAATGATGTCCCAATCTTGTTGATGCCACGTCCTTGCTATTAGTCATGCATGCTTGCGGTAAAAGAGGCTTATTGATTCAATTTGAAGTCGAGTAAAGTTCTACTAGTTAGTAGATATTTATACAAGTCTAATTGCGACTGGAATTGAAAAAAGACGCAGTTAACAGGAAATCTTGTAAAACCTAGTGATTCTTCAACGTTCAACCAGCTACGCTCTTTCCGTGTCTTACCGCATCTGAATAACTCCTACATTTAGATGCTTTATACTTCAGCCTGAAGCAGCGAGTGTTTATCTTTCTCACCGAGTATCTGCCAACTGTTTCTTTGTCACCTAACATTTTCTGTTTCAAAAGGTTCAGGCGGGATTCAGCGGAGCATCCTGTTAAAAATAACTCCATCTGAAGATGCGTGCTCTTCTCCAAAGGCCATACCTCTTAATAAAGTGCCATACCCGTGAATTAGCAAGAAGTTTAACTTGAAAGGGCTGTGGATATCGTGACTGTCAGCCAGCACAGTTTATCGGTTGGCTCAGGCACTGCGATAAAGGCATGTTGTCACTCGACGGCTAAATGATAGGAGACAGTTCCTCTACTTGGATCTTCTTTCTTATTCAACTTAAAATATATCACACATATTACCGAAACATACGGAACAACCGCAATAAATTCGAGGCAGTTGGTTGTGTTTGCCAGGCTAACTAATGAGGTGACCATTTAGAACAGAACAAAATCAACGAGCGGATCAAGTAAGTCAAACGGTGTAGGATTGGTGGATGAGGCTGAGTATGTTCCAAGTGATGTCTACCTCTGTTGGAATTAAAACCCCAGCATTCAACGAGCAAACCAAGTTGAAGGAAATCCAAAACAAAACTGACCAAACAAATTACATCAAAGCCATCCGCAAATAGTCAATCGCAACAGAAGTATTGAGTATTCTTCAGATACCACACAAACGTAGCCGAAGGGGAAGTGCCCATCCAATCGCGCACTAACGGCATTTCATCAACTGCAGCAAAAAAATCTCGCAATTGACTTTCCGAACTAACCTACAACCCGTGAACTCCCTAATGTACACAACTTCAGAGGTTAAACGACATAGTAGTTGCTGGTGATGACAATGATCACACACAATACATACAGGTGCTGGTTGTACTAGACTTGCTGTACTACAGTTTGGTGGCATGAACGGGTAAATAGCTCGACTTGCCTTTTCGTCCAAAGTACCGATTTTTTGTTGAGGGAAAGGAATTGTCTGCAGTTGCGCTTAATGCCTCAACTTTTATCTTGACTTCGAATAACCCGCTCTACTGCTCCAAAGACCTTTCACCTCTGTTCCATTGCTTACTATACACCACCTGTCAGTTAAACCGCGTGAAGTGTGGGCAGTATCCCAATCACTTTATAAAGGTACCAATGGAATTTTATTTTCAGCCTTGTGCGTTCTGGCTAACTAAGAAAAACTTTTCTACGTCTATCCGAACAACGCCAAACATGTTCGCATACACCTGGTCAACATATGGCCCGAATAGGTTGGCATTAGTCCCACAAGAATTAAACTAGCGCACAAACAGGGATATATTTGGGAAGGTCTGAAAAGATAAGGTAGTATCGTATCAAGCTATCAACAACATCTCAAAGAACTTGCCAGCTGACATGTGGAAAAGTTCATAGCAGGGAAGACGAGGTACTTCAAGACATAGGATAACGAACAGTAGTGCGTCAAGGGGCGACAATGCTACCCTTAAATAACCCTACAGACTCAGGATACCATCCGCTAGGTAAGCATTACAGCTGAAGACAAACTACGACAACGGTTATGCAGATCTGTTTGTCGTTGCCGGCGGTGCGGTCAGAGTGATCGCGGAACTTCGAACAAACCGAGCACTTTCGGACAAACGGGGAAGATTGGAACAAACAATTACGAGACGGTTCGTGCAATAATATCTCACCCGCTTTGGTACTTCCCTGGAGCAATCTGCTGGGTTTTCCTTACTTGATTTCCAGGAGGAAGACACTAGGAAGTTCAACTAGAAACTTGTTAGGAAATTAAGCAGTAAACCTGTCGATGTTTCAAAACAGGATACACTTTTCTGCACATGAAGAATATCAGCATGCGTGTGGGCCAGAAAACAAGCCTCGGAAAGGACCCCAACCACTGGCATCCCGCTTATGGAGTGGGTGTTTTATCGATTGAACTACCGAAGGCGCTTGCCCTTCGTCGTGCCTATACACCTGAGCTTCATAGCTAGTTGACCACTTTTCTCCCTATAGATTAACAGCTGATATGTGTCAGTGTCATTGGTGAACAACTTGAATGAATCTCACGGCTGGCCGGACGTTGATAAAGTTAAGATAACCAAAGGTATTGATGTAAGAGTGGAAGAGGACTTCACTGATCTTAAAAAGAGAAACTTAAGGGAACGTAGTATGAACGCGTGGAAACGAACTCAAATCAGCGGTTACCTGAATCAAAAGCCAATAGTATGAGTGGCAGGTACATTTAGGTTCCTGATCGACAGCCGACATGCTTATTTGTCAATCCTCAGTTCGTAGTTCAAAATTCCATTTTCAGAGCCACCATAATGGAAATCGGTATAAATTCGACCTCGCTCGCTCGTAAGTGTCTCCCACCTTGAGTTGTTTCCACAGTTTAAAACTTTTTGAACCTCGAATTCATTCAGTAGCCATTTGGACGCAGGCAGAATATTGTATACGGACAACTTTTAGTGACTGATGTGCGAACAGAAATTAAGAGCTATGTGGCCAAAATCCCAGCATCTCATTCATTTGCATGCTACGGCAACTTTTTCCACGAGTTGGCCTCAAAGATAACTTGGATCGTTCCTATCCATGAAGCACAGTCGGCAGGAAGCTCTAAACACGGTGTTGATCAGGGGTCCACAGGTTTGCCATCAATCTACTTTTCGATTTATACCTTTTGGTAGTGGTACCCAGCTCAAGAACGAAGGACACAGTTACTCAGAGGAATATAACAATACTAACAGTTGTGATAGTGAGGAGCATAACCGAATACTGGTGCACTTTACCGGTATGATTCCGCAGTTCTTTCTAGCCACATCTGCCCACGCTTATTATTGTAGAGATTTTGATTAATTATTTTGACGATTTTGTGGAGATTTTTTGCCAAAATTGCGCATCTTTGTTCAGATCCTACCCAAATAAAACATACAAAAATAGTTTAGCGATGTTTTGGCACCTTCAAAGTGCAAACTGCTGTTATAAGGTCACTAGAGACAGATGTCCCTATTCGGGTAGTCGCAGCATACCGGATGATAGCGTTCCTGATGAATAATACGGTTATTAAAGGCCGTTCCGTTTTCCTTCAACATAGGCACCTCTGTGGCCGATATAACATCCACCTGTCGGTGAAACGCAGGGTCTACAACGCGATCGTTTGCCCAGTTTTACTTTGGAGCTATATGGTCTGGCTACTGTGCGTTACAGAAAAGAGACGATCGCTTTTCTTTGGTCATTCGTGCCTTGGAAGCATTGCAAACGTATCACTGAAACATTGAATTAACAATTATGAAGTGTGACGACTGGATTTTGGCAACAAGCGGACTACCTCTCCAGTCGAAGAATTGAATCGGTCGCATCAATAACGTTGGCTCGGTTATGTGTTCTGCACGCCAGGTGATCGAGTTCCTCGCTGTGACCTATGTTCTGAGTCAGGTTGCGACTGGAAGATACCACGAGGTGAAAAACGCATGATCTGAGGATGAAGCGTGGAAAGAACACTGGTTCATGCCGTCTGCGGGACTGGGGTGTTAACGAACTACGACATCAATGGCCGAGGGTACTCACTGACATGGCGATGTCACACAAATATTAGTGGTGTTGTATTTGCTATCTTGTTCTTAATAATTGACCCATTGTTGTTTTTACCTTTCAATATGTTTTGTACCTCCTCTATAATATACTACCCCCTGCAGCGACCCGAACCGAGGTACGTACTACTCGCAGCTATGAAATCAAACTGAATACCGAGCAGGTCCAACGGACCACTTGCGGACAAAATATCAAACGACTACAACTATGTATTCACCTCCGTAATATTTGCTCTGCAACCAGTAGGATAATCAAAGCAAAGCCTCTTTACAGCGTCCGCCTTATGGAGAACAACACTATGTACTGACCATATTTGGCTGGATGTGAGTTTCTTGTTCTGGCCCAACTTTGCTATTAGCAACTTGCCATCAGGTCAGGAGTTCTACCGCATCTCATTCCAAAATAAAGGATGAAAACGAACCTTATATTGAGGTGCATCTTACTCTATAGGCCTGCACTAGGACACATCGCCCTGTAGAGCAAGCGTCAGTGGTCAGTGAAAAGGGGTTCACTGTGGTTGTCGTGAATGATGTTCCATAAACGTCCAGATACTTGTATAGATTAAAAAAATTCAGTTTGAAAGCACGAGAGTTGACAGAAAATATACCCACCTAAAACCATAAAAAGACGGAAGTACCTCGACTGGTGAGGCAACATTTGTGACAAGATAAAAACAGTAAGTAAGGGGTAAATTTCATTTAATCTCCATGAGGAAAGCAGTGAAAAACAGTCAGGGTGACGGATGATTCGATGTGAAGCGATTACAATTCTCGAGGTATTCTGCACGAGATAGGGGAGAGACGTGACCTAAATCATACACATTCGTATCCACCCACACCTCGGTTGAATCCGGGCTGAACAAAAGCCTATTACGTTCTGTATCCTGCGCTAGGTCGCCGGCAGTAAACTTAACATCAGACCGACCCACCACTTCTTCGTATCTTTGATCTCCCGGTAGAAATATTACTGAACACTTTTGTCCGGTGATTGTAACCTCAAAAACCACTGAAGTCCAACGACGGCAGCCTAAGTGAGCACGTTCTGCGGCAAAAGTGGTTAGCTTTGAAATGTCGGAGAATTGGGCCAGTCGTCCTAGTTCATACACCTGAGGTGGCATGAACCAGCGCCTTTGGGCAGGTAAAAAGGAAACCGGGGCATCAACATAGAGGCGATGTGCTTCATCATTCTGCCATCGCGTGGTTTTGGTAGCATCAGTTCCATCCAACACAATGACGCTGTTTATTGTGACGAAGAAAAAAAGTGTATCAAAGCGCGTAGTGTGGTGTGCAGGTGTCAACCAATTTGACCACTCTTTGAGTGCAGAAAGAGGGGGATAAAATCCTAGTTCTCTGTATAGTTGAGGAAAGCATTTTGGGTCTTGGAGAACGTTTTTCTGCCAAGACTCGAGTAGGACAGAGTTTAAAACAACAGCTTTTGTATGAGCACAATCATCCGGAATCTGTTCGGTCACCAACAACAATCCCGTTTCTTCGAATAGCTCACGTAGAGCACATAAGCGAAGTCCGACGGCAGGATTTAGATATTCCGAAGTTTCGTTGTGCGAGGGAAATATTCGGAGCAGGTTTGAAAAGATTGGTGGTGATGTGAGGAGCTTCTGAGTTCCCGGAGTGGACTTGTATAGGAAATCTGTCCACAGTGCTCGTGAGAAATCCGCTGAGGATACTAGACCACCTGGAAATACAATCTTGCCTTTAAAACTCGACTGATTTTCGGATCTCTGAAGCATAATAATATCGAAGTTCTGAGTTTCTTCTGATATGCGCGTTCCGTACAACTGTAATGTGAAATGTTTATCGAGGTTCGAGCGAACGGCGCGATCAAGGGCCACAATTACGGAAGCTGCATTCCTCAGTGAGCTGCAGCACAAGCGGATTGGGAGCTTATAGCAGGCGATGGCTGGCAATTTTAATGTCAATGAGGAGAGGACCCAACGTTGCAAGGAATTTGGAGAACGCATTCCGACTAAAACGATACGGAGAGGCAACAAGTTGAGATTCGCAATGCTTGAATGTAGACAGACAAGAGCGTCAGGACAAATAGAGTGAGAACGACAACATTAGAAAACGTGGTATATAAAACAAACGGTGCAATAGCAGATAACCGGATATATCTGTGTGGAATAAGGGTAGCATCGGAACCGCTGAAATGAACAGGCCACCGTACACAGTGAGAAGCAGTTTGCAGTGAAACTGGCAAGGGACAGAAGACACAAAAGGGAAATCTTATCATCACACAACCAAAGCTACTGTTCCAAAGAGAGGTAAATGTTTTTCAAAGAAAAGCACTGAAGGAAGTTAAGTGTCATGATACCAGCTACCCCGGAAACTCACTTTCCAAGACATGATAAATCTCGGGGTGCTTAAACATTAGACAAGAAATCAATCCAGTACCGCAAAGACTAAGTGGAATTATGCAACACATGAACGCCTACCATATTAAAAGCTTCATAAGGTGCCAACATACTCACATCGGTCATTCTAACAAACATAAACAGGAGTAAGGAGTGTTCATTCCGTGTTGATACATCATAACCCAAACGATGGCGGGGGGGGGGGCGAGATGGCCCAAGTGGTTAGAGCGCGGACCGGAAGGTCCGTGGTTTGAACCCGACCTCTGCCTCTCGACTTCCCTGTCTAGGCTTGGGCAGCCTGGCAGTATCCCAACCCTCGTGCTTCCTTCGGGTGGCATGGCAGCCAGGCACCGAAAGGGTGCTACAGCTCAATTATTGTTATTGTTATTAACCTGAACGATGACCTAATGGCAGATTCTGGTTACTTTGGTACGACACTGGAGAGATTTATGATAAAACCCCTTAAGGTAATAGCCGAAATAAGTAGTTGGTTCCGGTGCTTTTCATCATGCCTTCAGATTGAGGCCGACCAAATACTGAAGGAACAGACCATCTGCGCGTTCGCCCATCAAGACCACCGCAGATTGCCTGAGTGAATGTCTGGAGGTGTAGGCACCTCGGAATGATTGTGGTAAGCTAGCACTAAGTCCCTTCCCTGTCCACCTTTACTCTTTTCTTTACAATTAGGCTTTCAAATAAATCATGGTTGTACGGCAGTGAAGCATCGGTGTTGAACACTGATGTCATGCTGTCAATGATGTTGATGATGATCGCACGCAGTACCACGGAAGGACCGCGCACAAACCGCGCGCGGTTTGCTGCTATTGATTGAAATGCTGTTGTCGGCATCGGCCACCAACCAACCAGGCCGATAAACAATGAGAGCAGATATTACAGAATAATAGCCATAATCAAGGAGGTTCGGATCAGATATCCACCGGTATCGGATTCCATAGTTTATGACCAAGTTTCCCACATCACTGTTTGAACCAACAGTATCCAAACAGCGCTACGCTGTGGAGAGTCTCCCAAACATACATTGGTCAGCGCACTGCACTAAGAAAAGTCACTCGAACCTTTCCCTTAAAAATGCCCAAACTGATTATTTCTAATCAGTACGAGAAACAAACTGCTGTATCTCAGCTTCACGGGTGTGACAACAGCGCACTGACGGAGGTTCCTCGATTCATGACGAAACGATTTTAGGCAAGCTGAAAAGCTCGTTCGACCCTAGGACTCAAGGTCAGGAGTGCATCTCGTGCGTCAGGCTGTAAAAACCGCAGATCCATATGACCCGTCTGAAGATCAGGGCAATTGTTTATCAATCAATGTAACCATCCATTGAAGCGGAAACGGTTGATATATACTAACAAGCAACTCAGGGATTCGAGCTACCATTTTCAGCAATCACTCAAAAAACAAGTGAAAATGTCAAACCGCACCAAAATTGATACAGTTTCAGTCCTGATTAAGTGAAGACAAACAAGGACGAGAACCGAAACATCGGCAATAACTCTTTTTCACTTGAGTACCGCAGTACATGTTTTTGAACTCTTGTCATCCAAATCGTTTTCAGTTAATGAGTGATGTTCGATTTAACTACGTGAGATAAAAGTCAAGGGTTAAATACACTACTCGATCCCCGTGAAAATCCATGAGAATTCAAACTGTTCTCTACTTCGACTTATTGCTTAGTTAAATGTTCGGTTGATACAAAAGCCAAAATAAAATAAGGTTAAAAGTACCCCACTAAGCAACGTCATTCACGAATTTCGAAAAAAGTCACGGCCATTAGACCAATGTGCGATCAGTATCAAGCGAGCAATGGTAAGCTACACTAGGTGTGTTGTATTCTTTTGGTTATAGCAGGTAGCCGAAGACTCGTTACTTGCTCCAGCAAATCTGAGTGTTCGTTCTCTACTGGCAAATCTTACCTACGGTCCACCAAGTATTAAAAGACAATTTGGGCTCCGACTCATCTTCATAAAGGAATCTACTCACAAGGTTGCTGAAGACTTTTCGACAGCCCAAGACGGGTTTGGCCCTCCTTGGGGCTCATCAGGTAGACGCAACCCCCGAGTTTCTGCTTGAGTGGTACTCTGTAAAAACGCGAGTTTCCTGCTGAGTACTGAGGACAGTTGCGAGCGCAAAAGGCAATTGAGAAAAAACTGAGCAAAATCTTTGCCCTCCTTCCTAAATGGGTGTTGAAATTGTGGTCTTTGTGTGGCGAACAGGAATAAGTGGCTGTATGAGCGACTGGTTGGACAAAGTATAATTCACAAGCACGAGACAAACTGATAAGCGGCAAGGTAAACCATTGTCACGATTGTTGTGAACGATGCTAAAGAGACCAATTGAGTGGACACACAGGGAAACACAAAACACAGACGGGCACGCATGAAGATACGGTGAATGCTACATTCAAATTGTTAGGCATAAGAAAAGAAAATTTCTTCGGCGTGTTTCTTGGAAAGAGGTCTGTCATATCCAACAGATGGATGAATGGGGTTAAAATTTTACATTCCCAATGCCATATAGTAGCGTTGCCCGTTATTTTCATCAGAGAATAAGTTATGTGCTGTAGGAAGACGACGAATTCATCGAAGGATTTTATAAAAGAAAAATCTGGCTTGAGGACCGAACCACCAGGTTTTTGGATCGACCTGCGCTCAGCCCAGAGGAGAAAATCAGCCCATCGGGAACGTAGCACTAAGTTCATTCCCCGCCCGCTTTTATTCTTTCCTTCACAATGAGGGTTTCAAATGAATCGTGACGGCAGGGCAGCGAAGCATCGGTGTTGAACACTGGTGTCATGCTGTCGATGATGATGGGGGCGAGATGGGTCAAGCGGTTAGAGCACGAATTTCCTGACCTGAAGGTCCGCGGTTCGAACCCGACCTCTGCCTGTCGACTTCCCCTGTCTAGGCTTTGGCAACCTGGCAGTATCCCAGCCCTCGTGTGGCATGGCAGCCAGGCACCGAAAGGGTGCTACAGCTGAATGAGTTTTTTATATTCTGATTTTTCGATGATGATGATGGTGAGAAGAGCTCATTGTGTTCAGCCCTGTGCTAATTGGGAGCGACCGAGGGGAGGACAGTATACGACCTCGCAACGAAGTACGGAAACACTAGCTAGTAAACTTAGTCGGGTGGGCAACTGCCGCCTTCCTGGATGGGGACGCCGGGACTCAAATTACCAGTGGTCAATGAAATTGGCAGGAATGGCCCAACTGCGCAGTCAGTGGCGCTCGTGCATTAAAGCTACTGCCTTCATTGCGTAGCCATCAAATTTCCGAACAAATTCAACATGCCTTCGCCTCCAAGGCTTGGTTGTATGTTCCACTTTCCCGTTTTCCGGTGATCGAAACTATAGCAGTTGGAACCAATGTGCATATGGTACACGGCTTATGCTGATAAACCGAATTGAATAGATACATGCACTTGCTGCACGCAGCTATAGTTGCAGTGTCTTTCCCCGGAGTACGGCCTCGATATCCCCGCTTGTTCGAAGTCCGGAAGAATCAACTCAGATGTTGGCTTCTTTGTTTCACGTACCATCACGGAGGCATCCAAGCTACGCTACGAAAACGATGCATTCTAAATTAAGATTAAGGTGTAATAGAGCATACCATAACTCTTAAAGAAACCATCTTCACAGATTTTGATAGCTTTTGCACTACACAGCCCAAATTCCTATACGATAGTTATCTGGTTTGTTGGAGAGAGAGAGAGAGAACAGAGATCATCAAAACACAATCCCCGTTCGTCAACCGTGACTTCAGGCTCCATCTTTGTGAGTTATTGAAAGGCACACTTATTCAAAACATCGCGAGTGGCGGGAGGTCTATCTAGCTAATAATGGGTTAGTCGCTCTACTTTTGGGCAACTTTTTATCTTGTGTTGGCTGTAAGGTACAGGTTCTCATCAGAATGTCAGAAGTCGTGGATAATTCGAGACCGCAGTTATGCTGTTTTAATGACTGTGTTTTTTAATCTCACTCCACTTTTGTCTACAGCTGGGCTAGTGAATACATTTCACTGTTCAATGTGGTCTATGCGGCCAAACCTCGTGCTTGCAGACCAGCCAATCAATGTGGTGGACAAATTTGTCTACCAGGCCAGTTATTTAGGTTCTGGTGGGAAGGCCCGGACAGTTTTTGCCAACCTCCGAACCTATCGTGCAGGTGTGAGGTCACTTAGTCAAGAGCAAAGTATACACTGAGACAGTGCGATCCACACTGCCTTGTGGATAAGAAACGTGATCTCTGTGCGCAGAGGACGTACGAAATTTGTCAATCTTTGACCATCGGTGTCCACGAAGCATTGGTCGGATCTAGTGGGAACATTGAATTAGCAATCATGAGGTAAGCCAGGCGCTTTTTGGAAAAAAGAGCCCTTCCATGATGGATGAGATGCTCAGGTAAGCCAAGCGCTTTTTGGAAAAAAAGAGTCCTTCCATGATGGATGAGATACTCACGCTTCATGGGTTACGCTGGTCGGGAAATGTACCTTACATTCCAGAGGACACGCTTCATGGGTTACGCTGGTTGGGACATGTACCTTACATACCAGAGGACTGGTTGCCTTGCTGAACTCTTTGCACCCAGCCCCATGCATGGAGTCAACCGAGGTGTGAACCGCCCACGATCTGACACGAAGCACTAATCAATCAATCCAGTCCGGTTGACAGTTGCTGCCTCCCTGGATGGAACGACGTGAATCAACTCATCAATGTTTAATGACACTGTTAGTCATGACTCAATCACGCAATCAATAGCGCTTTTGCGTCAAGGCCACCGTCTCCTGTGCATACCTTCCCAGTTCTTGAACCAAATGATCATATAATCACCTGGAGTGCTTGCTTATATCTCGCACACTCTCCCACTTCCCGGTGACTAGCAGCTGGAACTAACGTACCCTTGGTACATGGAATTTCGAACCTTCAACTTCCCGACTTTCATCAGACGAATCGGTCACCAGCAACTGAGCAGCAGCACTTGGGATATAGCACCACTCATCTTTCGCTCACGTAAACCACATCATGTGGACATCTGCTGACGAGCTTCTGGAGTGATGATTCCTCAGTTGGAAGTTTCACACATCTTGTGGGAGTATTCTTCCTCTGAGTCACTTATTGATATATAGACGGTGTGAGATTTCGTCCTGAGTGGAGGCAGTCTGTACTAGTGCTAAATCTTGTTTAAATAGGAGTTAACCACAGTGCTGATCCATCTCTCGTGACTGAACGGTTGAGTGTTCAAATCAGTGACCGGGACGTCGAGGGATCAAACCCCCTGAGGTTTCTTGAGTCACGCACTGCTGGTGTTTCCCAATAAGGAAGAAACAGCTGCACAGTGCTTCTCGGCCTTTTAGCACGGATCGGCTTCACTTACACGACAAAATCTCCATTAACTATTCCATAAACTCCTCATACCACCAACAATATAGGCTTTAACGGATGATGTTGCCTTGACCATCCCTGTGCTTGGCTGGAGACATTGCAGAAAACAGCACCCAACCCATGTCAGTTTCGTTCAAACTGCCGCTCTGTCTGTCTGTCTGAGTGCTTGGTCAGCACCAGATCTCTACTCCGACAACTGTCTTCTTTTATTGAATTTAGGCCTTTGAATATGACTAAATGAACGGTAGTGAAACATAAGTTTCAATACTGATGTTGCTGTTTA